TCAATTCACAATCATTATTGGTAATAATGTCAATTCTCAAGATTATTAACTTTGGGGAAACCCCTCTTCCTCTCACACAGTTTTATCCCCTCCTACTTCTTTCTCCCTCCCAAACCTAAACATTTCTCTTTTTTTTAATTTTTATTTTTTAAATATTTTATTTATTTATCTTTAGAGGGGAAGGGAAGGAGAGAGGGAGAGAAACATCAATGTATGGTTGCCTTTTGTGCATCCCCTGCTGGGAACTGGCCTGCAGGGAACTGGTCTGCAACCCAGGCATGTGCCCTGACTGGGAATCGAACCGCGATTGGTTCTTAGGCCCGCGCTCAATCCACTAAGCTACACCAGCCAGGGCGCAAACCTAAACATTTCTTTGCTAATTTTCCACAGCTAGATATTTCTTACACTGAGGAATTACATTGCCATTTTTTAAGATACTATTTTTCAGTGAAATATCCCAGTGCCCTGGTCTTGGCAGCATTGTCTCTTCCCGAAAGCTGGGCGGAAATGAAGCTGTCCTGTCTTAGGATGGCGCCACCTTCTGCCCACTGAGAGGCAGCATTGGAACACAGCTGAAGGACCCACTCCATTGCCTTCTGGGCTGATGGCAGGTAATTCAAGTAAGAATAATTTTAGAAGACACACTGAATTTGAGGTGCTGATGAGACATCCACGGTTGCACAGGAATTTAAACTCAGTAAGGGAAGCAAGACCAAGTCTAAGTATCTGGATGACATTGGGACTCAGGGAGGTTGGGGTACCTGCATAAGATTAACCAGGAAATGGCAGATTGGAGAATGGAATCTGGCGTGTCTTGGAAGTTCACGTAGCTCCACCTCTGAATTAAGGCGGGGCGGGGGGGGGGGGGGGGGGGGGGCGCGGGCAGGAGGGGGCGGGGTTCCTTTTGGTCAGAAAGGAAAAAGAGATCCCAGGAGCTAGAGGATAAGAGAAGTTCGAGGAAAGGACTGCTGATGATCTAATATTTTAGAGTTGTCAGTTTGGATGCAGGCTGAGAAAACATCAGTAGGATTTCAATTTAGGATTTATTTGGAGACTTTGAAAGAGTAGCTTAGATCCCCAGCACTGGGTTAGGACTTAGAAGGTATGCAAATAGGGGAAGACGCAGTCCCATCCCTATGGAGCTAAGCATGAGGCAAAGTCAGGGAAGTTGGCAAAAATTAAATGGTGGTTCAGGTAAGGAAGAGATGCATATAGACCCCCCAACCCCCTCTGACACTTCAGTGTAAAGTGGAATGTGCCCCTCCCTGCTTCCTTCCTCTACCAGCACTGCTCTACAGCAGGATCTCAACCCCGGCTCATACACTGCTGGTTGCTCCTGTTCAGTGAACAACCTGCCCAACAGTGGAGGCCTTGGAAAAATGAACACTGAGTAGTTAGTAAGTTTTTGTGCAGGACATGAGCTGGGTTTAAACTGATGTCAAGACTTTAGAGCAGCTGCAAGGAAGAAGTAGGAGTTGCCCTCTGCTGAGAACCCACACAGCAGAGATAGGAAAGAATTGATGAAAATAAAAGATGTGAATCACCTTACTCTTGGCACCACTATTTTATTTTTTCTTTTTTAAGTATATTTTATTGATTATGTTATTACAGTTGTCCCATTTTTTCTCCTCTTTCCCCCACTCTGCCCAGTACCCTCATTCTCTCCTGAATTTTCCTCACCCCTTAGTTCATGTCCATGGGTCATACATATAAGTTCTTTGGCTTCTCCATTTCCTGTGCTATTCTTAACTTCCCTGTCTATTTTGTACCTGCCAATTATGCTTTTTTTCTTGTACATTTTCCCCTATTCTCCACTCTCCCCTTTCCCACTGATAACTCTCCATGTGATTTCCATTTCTACGATCCTAGTCCTTGTTCTAGTCGTTTGCTTAGTTTGTTTTTGTTTTTTTTTCAGGTTCAGTTGTTGATAGTTGTGAGTTTGTTATCATGAGCACCACTATTTTAAAGTAGGTAAAATTAGGAAAGATCACTCATTCAAACAATTATTGAGCACCTGCTATGTGCAAGGAGCTAAGCCCTAACAACTATGTATCATTTAGGATGTTTGATACACCTTCCTGGGAAGGAGGCTGGGGTTGTGGCTGTCCCAGAACATGAAGCTCCAAATCTCTAGAAATAGGACCATAATCCCAATCTTTTGACTAGTTTAGAATTCCTTTCATTCTAGATTCTGATATTTCTACTTAAACATTTATAAATTTAAGTAATTGTTTAAATTGATGATACACTGACTTGGTTCCAAACTTAGAAAGCACAGTGGGAACACAGGGGAATGTCTTTCCCACCCATTATTCAGGCATCCAGACATCTAATGTCTTAATATCAGTGCTGTCTTAATTTGCATTTCCTTCATGTGAGAGTGAGCATCTTTTCATATGTTTTAGAGATATTTTGTAATTTTTTCATATGAAGGGTCTATTCACTTCCTCCGACCGATTTTCTACTTGGTAGTTAATAATTTCTTATTTGCAAGAGTTTCCTGTGCATTCAGGAAATTAGTCCTTTCATTTTCATGGTCATTGTAAATATGTTTTCTTTTAACATTTCCATTTTTCTCATTTGTCTCTTGGCATTGCTTTGCAGCTTTTTTCTCATAAAGATCTTTTTAAATGTGGTTGAATTTATCTGTCTTTCCTTTTATGACTTCTATGCTTGAATCATTCTTAATATGGTGTTAAATACAGTGGGTCCCTGCCTTCAAGTTGCTCAATAAATCAATAGGAATATCAAGAGAAATACATAATACCTGTAGTATGTTACCTGTGGTCACTGCTTCAAGGTGGTTCAGAGTATAATTTCTTCATTTGTCTGTCCAGAATCCAGTTATTGATCCATTTAACCATCCTTCACTAAACTCTTTCTGGGAGACAAAGGACATCTTGTGGTGATGAAGTATGTGGGTAAGATGATAGACATCCAGATCTGAATTCCAGCATTCTGTTTATACTTCTGTGCCCTTGGGCAGATTGTTTCATCTCCCTACATTTTTGATTCTCATATACCATGACATATGGCAGAAGTGTCAAATATGGAAGGGTCAAGGACTAGAGATTGGAGAACGGATGTAGTATATAGCTTAGGGAGAGAGCTATAAGACAAATCCTGGATTTGTGATTCCAGGTGGCAAAATCTGAATTCATTAGGTTGGGGACAAAAAGTAAAGGTCAATGGACTGAGCCACTCAAGGTGCTGAAGGGCCTCTGTGTTGGATGGTCTTCTACATAGTCTTTGAAATTACCCAGTATGATGGCAGAACATAGGGTAGGGACAAGCCATGGGCCTCACACATATATCCTCAATAAATCAGGAAAATGAATCTAAGGAGGGCAGAAAGGAAGAGTGTGAACAACCAGAGCTCCACAAGCAGGTATTTTCATGTGGCTCTAGGGAAGTCATGCTCGGGTGCTGGTGGAATGGAGTAAGGAAGACACACATGCCATCTGTAACCCTGAGATTTGAGAGGGACATCTCTTTTGAGGAGAAGAAGGCCAAGTAACTTTAGGGAAAGTAAGTTTTTAGTAGCAACCCACAGTAGACTGGCCAAATGGGGTTATGAAGTGAGGTTTGAAAACAATCTCAGAGTTTTGAAAGCCTCAACTGGCAGCCCTTATTAACAGACTTCTTGTAAACTTCCCCAGTGTCAAGGTTGAGAACAAGGACTGAAAGCTGGAAGACTGTGGGGTGGCCAGTGTTGTGACTAGACGCCATGGTTCTGTAACACTTCATTCCCAGTATACCATAAGTGAATGTTCTGGCAAATGGGTAATCATTCTGTGAGTTGACTCTCGGTTTGTCATTACACTGAAAGCTCCAAGACTTTCACCTTCCCCATGAGCAAACAAACTATAACTTGCACCAGTCAAAAAGTCCATCTTACCTTTCAGCTACCTCAGGTCAGTCACTCAGCCTTAAAGAATTTGATTTTCCTGGTAACTCAGAGTTTCCAGCAGAGAATGGGCCTCTTCACTTCTTCCGCAGTTTTTTGTTTTTTGTTTTTTTTTGTCATATGAACATATATAATTGACATGCTTTAAAGAACCATTCGCCTACTGGCAATCTCCTCGGATCTGAAGGCTGAGAAAATGACCCAAATTTATAGCAGAAGAAATTGAAGTAGGATACTAAGAAAGCTTTTTGGGAGGAGAACTAAGCAAGAAGTTGGGGATGAGGAAGTGAGAGTGAATGCACAGTATTTAAGGGAAGTAGTGATGGGGGAGTTCTTCCTTCTCTGGGTCATCTTTGGAAGTTGTCTGAAAGGAAGGAAAAGTACCTTCAAGCATTACACAGGTATGCTCTAAGCCCTGTTCTCTTTTCTTTCATTATGGAATATATAGAGCCCTGGAAAGGGTGCTGGTTGAAAGAATAACCAGCTGACAGAGATACTGAGGCAAATGGTTGGTAATAGTGATCAATAGCAGTGGCTGGATTTTTTTAGTGTGACTACAAGCCCTCTAGTATCCCAATGTTGGAGAGCACTCCAAACTCCTTCCAAATTCTGTCAACTGAGAAGACAGAATTGGAGAAAACTTTCAACTTTTCAGTTTATGATGCTCTGGCTTGTGGTCATGACACTCTAGCCTTTTAACTTTGAACCGTAAAAGTTATTTGTAGAAAACTCAGAGAAAAAAAAAAGAGAATTGGTTTTGAATCACCTATTTTCTCCAGGGGTATGGTATGAAAAATAAGGAGTGATTACAAGTTTTGTTACTACGAGGGAACTAGAGGGTACATGTCAAAGCTGATGAGATGTTTCTGTAACTGGTGCAGAACTGTGGTGCATGTGCTCCATGCTAGGCTCCACTGATGGAGAGTGAGCAGTTGCCTGAAGCTGGAGGCCCAAGTCACATCCTCTAGGCTGCTTCAAACCTGCCTCTTTCCACCGGGGCCACCCTTCAGGGACTGTGTATGGGAGGGCTTCCAAAGCCCCAGTGGGGAAGGAGGCCTTGTAGACAGGAGGCTGGGAGTGTGGGGTAGAGGCCATGGTCTCTCTGCAAAGGAACAGTCAGGAAGAGGGCATCTGCTCCATCTGCCAGGAGAGCCTGACAGAGGCAGTGAGCACTGACTATGGACACATTTTCTGCCAAGTGTGCCTGGCCCAGTATGTGGAGAAGGTCTCAGCTTTTGGACTTTTCTGCTGTCCCCTCTGCCAGAAGCCCTGGTTCTAGGGACAGGCAATATCTGCCACAGCCACCAAAAAAAGTTGTGCAGGTTCTGTGAGGAGAGCTGACTTCTTCTGTGTATGGAATAACTAGTGCCTCCTGAACACAAGTCTCATTGTGAGCTGGCCATTGAAGATGCCATCAGTCACTACAAGGTAAGGCTAAGTCACCACCTCCCTGAGTTACTCCTTTCTACCCACTGCCCATTATGCCTGGCATCATAGAGGTTTAATTATTGACACTCTTCTTTGTTTCTTCAGCTTCATCTTATTTTGGACCCTAGTCTTTGCTTTTCCATGTATATTTTGCTGCTAATGTTAATGTGTCAGTGTATAAATACAAGTCTAAGAGAACACACTGTCACTGTGATAACATTCCAGGAAGCATGAGCTACTCTCACTTTGCTCATCTGTAGAATGGAGTTGGACTAGATAATGCACAACTCCTTTGGTATTAAGACCATGTAGTTCCCCTGATTGATAGCACTAGAAATTTGACTAGAAATGTAATCTTCTAATAATTAATACTAATAATTATTCTGCAAATATATTGAAACCTTGAAATCAGTGCATGGTTTTCTCTCTCTTTCTCTGTCCTCTTGCTTTGTCTTTTCTTTCCTTCCTGTATGATATTTGTATCCTATTTTATTTAAAATTTTTATCATATAAATTACATGTTCTTAGTGATGCATCAAGACAATGTGGTGATATAAAGTCAAAACTAAAAACATTTCCTCCTTCTAATTCACCACAGGTGACCATTGTGAAGTTTTGTGTATCATTCTTACAGAAAATTCTCTGCATGTGAATGCACTCCTTAACACACACATACAGATTCTCTTTATAATTTTTTCTGTAGCTCATTTATGATCTAAATATACATCTTAGACAACTTCACATTCTCCTGTCAGTTTATTTAAATATAAATTTTTTTCAACAACTGCATGGTATTCAATTTTGTGAATGTGTCATAAATTGGCAGACACTGTGTTATTTCGTTATTGTTTTAAAATATATTTCATTAATTATGCTACTACAGTTGCCCCAATATGTTCCCCTTTGCTCCCCTCCACAAGGTAACCCCTATCTCTCCAGAAATGTCCCCTGCCTGCTTAGTTTATGTCCATGGGTCATGCATGTAAGTTCTTTGGCTACTCCAATTCCTATACTGTTCTTAATATCCCCTTGTTAATTCCTTACCTATCAATTTGTACTTCTCTTTTTTTATTTTAAAATGTGCTTTTTTCTTTCTTTATTTTTAATATATTTTATTGATTATGCCATTACAGTTGTCCCATTTCCCCCCCTCATTCCCCTCCACCCTGCACATCCCCTCCCCCCACATTGCCCCCCTTTAGTTCATGTCGATGTGTCTTAAGTTCTTTAGCTTCTACATTTCCCATACTACTCTTGCCCTCCCTCTGTCTATTTTCTTCCCACCGTCTATGCTACTTATTCTCTGTACCTTTACCCCCTCTCTCCCCCTCCCACTCTCCTGTTAATAACCCTCCATGTGATCTCCATTTCTGTGGCTCTGCTCCTGATCTAGTTGTCTGCTTAGTTTGCTTTTGTTTTTGTTTTAGGTGTGCTTGTTAATGATTGTGAGTTTGCTGTCATTTTACTGTTCACATTTTTTATCTTTTTCTTAGATAAATCCCTTTAACATTTCATATAATAAGGGCTTGGTGATGATGAACTCCTTGAAGTTGACCTTGTCTGAGAAGCACTTTATCTGCCCTTCCATTCTAAATGAAAGTTTTGCTGGACTGAGCGATCTTGGATGTAGGTCCTTGCCTTTCATGACTTGGAATACTTCTTTCCAGCCCCTTCTTGCCAGTAAGGTCTCTTTTGAGAAATCAGCTGACAGTCTGATGGGAACTCCTTTGTAGGTTACTGTCTCCTTATCTCTTGCTGCTTCTAGGATTCTCTCCTCTTCCCCTTCTGGTACCCCTATAATTCAGATGTTGGAATGTTTAAAGGTGTCCTGGAGGTTCCTAAGCCTCTCCTCGTTTTTTTTTTTTTTTTTTTTGAATTCTTGTTTCTTCATTCTTTTCTGTTTGGTCATTTTTTTTTCCTTCTGGTCCACAGTGTTTATTTGAGTCCCAGTTTCCTTCCCATCACTATTGGTTTCCTGTACATTTTCCTTCATTTCACTTAGTGTAGCCTTCATTTTTTTCGTCTAATTTGCAACCAAAATCAACCAGTTCTGTGAGCACCCTGATCAGCAAGCAGTGTTTTGAATTGTGTATCTGATAGGTTGGCTATCTCTTGGTCACTTAAAATTATTGACTCTGGGGCTTTAATTTGTTCTTCTGATTGAGCCATTTTTGGTTTGTTCATGCCTGTTTTGTATGAGGGGCAGAGCCTTAGGTGTCCACCAGGGTGGGGCAACCCATTCACTGGGTTGTGATGCTGTATGTGGGGGCAGAGTCAGAGAGGGAATAATGGCACTTGCTCCATTCTCTCTAATTTTGGTCCCCTTTGCTGCTTCCCACAAGCAAATTGGGCCCTTCTGGTGCTGGTTCCCGGGTGTGTGGGCTTGTGTACGTTCTAGGACCCTGTGAGTTTCTCTAAGGAACTCTCCTGTGGGGCTGGGAGTTTCTCCTGCTGCCTCAACCCCCACAGGTGTTTTTATCAGTGGTTTGGGGCTTCATTTCCCCATGCTGGGGCCCTGGGTTGTGCAGTCCATCCTGCTCCTCAGTTTCTCATGGTTTATCTGTAAGAGAATGTGGGACCCCCCAGTCTGCAATCAGCCGCCTCACTTCAAAACCTCTGACTAAAAAAACATGTGGAAGTTGCAGTGCTAGAAGAAACTCCCAGCCTCACAGGAGCGGTCTTTGGAGAGACCCACAGGGTCCTAGAATATATACAAACCCACCTACCCAGGATCAGCACTGGAAGTGTCCAATTTGCTTGTGGGTAACAGGAAGTTATTGAAAGCCATCAGAGAACTGAGCAAGTGATATTGCTCCTTCTTGGACTCCTCCCCCTCACACAGCACTGCAATACAGTGACATGGGTTGTCCCACCCTGGTGAATACCTGAGGCTCCATCCCTTGCAATGTAACAGGCATGTCCAGACCAAAAAAAAATAATGGCCCAAATGAAAGAACAGATCAAAGCTTCAGAAAATACAACTAAGTGATGAAGAGATAGCCAATCTATCAGATGCAGAGTTTGAAACACTGGTAATCAGGATGCTCACAGAAAGAGTTGAATATTGTCACAAAGTAGAGGAAAGAGTGAAGGCTATAAAAAGTGAAATAAAGGAAAATGTACAGGGAACGAACAATGAAAAGAAAAAACTGGGACTCAAATCCACAGTTTGGACTAGAAGGAAGAAATAAACATTCAACCAGAATAGAATGAAGAAACACAATGAAAAAATATGAGGAGAGTCTTAGAAACCCCTGGGACAACTTTAAACATTTCAACATCCAAATGATAGGGGTGCTATAAGGAGAAGAGGAACAGCAAGAAGTGAAAAATTTATTTGAAAAAAATAATGAAGGTGAAATTCCCCAATCTGGCAAAGGCAACAGACTTCCAGGAAGTCTAGGAAGCTCAGAAAGTCCCAAAAAAGTTGGGCCCAAGGAAGCACACAGCAAGGCACATCATAATTACATTACCCAAGAGTAAAGATAAGGAGAGAATCTTAAAAGCAGCAAGAGAAAAGGAGACAGTTACCTATAAAGGAGTTCCCATAAGATGCTCAGCTGATTTCTCAAAAGAAACCTTGTAGACAAGAAGGGGCCAGAAAGAGTATTCCAAGTCATGAAAGACAAGGACCTATATCCAAGATTGCTCTATCCAGCAAAGCTTTCATTTAGAATGGAAAAGCAGATAAAATGCTTCCCAGATGTGGTCAAGTTAAAGGAGTTCCTCATCACCAAGCCCTTATTACATGAAATGTTAAAGAGACTTATCTAAGAAAAAAAGAAAATGATTAAAACTATGAATAGTAGAATGACAATAAAGTCACAACTATCAACAACTGAACCTAAAAAAAAAAAAAAGCAATCTAAGCAAACAACTAGGACAGGAACAGAATCACAGAAATGGAGATCACTTGGAGGGTTATCAGTGGGGAGGGGGAAGGTAGAGAATGGGGGGAAAGGTACAGGGAATAAGAAGCATAAATTGTGGGTACAAAATAGATGGAAGGGTGTGTTAAGAATAGTATAGGAAATGGAGAAGCCAAAGAACTTATATGTATTACCCCTGGACATGAACTAAAGTTGGGAAATGATGATGGGAGGTGTGGTACAGGGTGGAGGAGAATAAAGGGAATAAAAAAATGGGACAAATTTAATAGCATAATCAATAAAATATATTTTTAAAAGGAATAATAATTCCCATCTTATTTGAAATTTTATATACTGTGTTGTATGAAGAACTACTCCATGTTAGTTTTTTTTATTCTCATATCCAATTGTCCCTCAAAATTTCTGAGTTCTTTCCACATCTAGATATTGATTATGTTTTGTCATTAATTACATTTTTAACAGCAGATGTTTTACTCTACTCATTGATTATTTTTTGTTCTAAAGTTGTCACATTGTCTTCATGCTGCTACTTTATATGTTTAAAAAAATCTACCAGTATCTTCGTTATATAATATTTTTCAAAGCCTGATGTTCTCACTGTCTTCCAGAGGAATTTTCTTTTAATTCATTTTTACTTTATATTTTCCATTACCATCTGTTACCCTTATATCCTTCTCTGCTCCACAATCACCATATTGTTGTCCATGTTCATAAGTCCTTTTGCTCTTTGCTCAATCTCTCCACTCCCTAACCTCCCCCACCCAGAGCTCTCAGTCTGCTCTCTGAGCTTCTGTCTATTTTGCATATGAGATCAGTTTGTTCATTAGATTCTAATAATGTGTGAAATTGTATGCTATTTGTCTTTCTCTGACTGGCTTGTTTCATTTAGCATAATGGTCTCTAAGTCCATCCATGCTGTCACAAAGGGAAAAACTTTCTTCTTTTATATGGCCAAGTAGTATTTCATTGTGTAAATATCGTATAGTTGTTTTATCCACTCATCTACTGATGGACACTCAGGCTGCTTCCATATATTAGCTGTTGTAAATAATGCTGCAGTGAACATAAGGGTGCATATATTCTTTCAAATTAATGTTTTGGATTTCCTCAGATAAATTGCCAGAAGTAGAATTACTGGGTCACAAAACAGTTTTATTTTTAATTTTTTTAGTTATATCCATTCTGCTTTCCTCAGTGGCTGCACCAATCTACATTCCCACCAGCAGTACATCAAGGTTTCCCTGTCTCCACATCCTCACCAACACTTGTTGTCTGTCTATTTATTGTTGATAGCCATTCTAACCAGTGTGAGGTAATATCTCATTTTGACTTTAATTGACATTTCTCTCATGATTAGTGATGTTGAGCATCTTTTCATATGTTTATTGGCCATCTGTATGTCCTCTTTGTAGAAGTGTCTATTCAGGTCTTTTGACCATTCATTAATCAGATTTCTTTTGGTGTTAAGTTTTCTAAGTTCTTTATAAACTTTGGATATTAACCCCTTATCAAATGTATTGGGTAATATGTTCTCCCATTCTATGCATTGTCTTTTTACTTTGTTTATAATTTTTTTGCTGTGCAAAAACTTTTTAGTTTGATGTAGTTCCATTTGTTATTTTTGTTTGTTTGTTTCTCTTGCCTGAAGAGATATATCTGAAAAAATATTGCCATGAACAATTTCTGAGATTTTACTGCCTATGTTTTTTCTAGGATTTTTATGGTTTCAGGTCTAACATTTAAGTCTTCGATCCATTTTTATTTTATTTTTTGTTCATGATGCAAGATGATTGTCTAGTTTCATTTTTCTGCATGTATCTGTCCAGTTTTCCCAGCACCATTTATTGAATAAATTATCTTTAGCCCATTGTATGTGCTAGTTCTTCTGTCAAATATTAATTGACTATAAAGGTATGAGTTTATTTCTGGGTTCTCTATTCTGTTCTACTGATCTATGTGTCTGTTTTTATGCCAGTACAATGCTATTTTGATTACTATAGCCTGATAGTATATTTTGATGTTAGGTAGCATGATTCCTCCAAACTTATTCTTCTTTCTCAAGATTGTGGTGGCTATTTGAAGTCTTTTGTGGTTCCATGTACTTTTTTGGAATGTTTTTTCTAGTTCTGTGAAATAGGCCATTGGTATATTAATAAGAATTACATTGAATTTGTGAATTCCTTAGGGTAGTATGGACATTTTAATGATGTTAATTTGTCCCAACCATGAATGCAGTTGTGCTTCCAATTAGTTTTAGGGTTTTTTTAGTTTTTTTCTTCAGCGTCTTATAATTATTTGAGTATAGGTCTTTTATATCTTTGGTTAGATTTATCCCTAGGATTTTTTTGAAGCAATTGTGAATGGGATTGTTTTCTTAATTTTTCTTTCTCATATTCATTATTGGCATATAAAAATGCAACTGATTTCTAAATATTAATTTTGTATCTTGCTACTCTACTGAATCCATTTTTCAGTTCTAGTAATTTTAGGGTGGAATTTTTAGGGTTCTCTATCTATATTATCATGTCATCTGGGTGCCTTTTATTTCTTCTTCTTGCCTTATTGCTATAGCTAGAACTTCCAGTACTATGTTGAATAAGAAAGGTGAAAATGGACATCCCTGTCTTTCTCCCAATCTTAAGGGGAATGCTTGTAGGTTTTGCCTGTTGAGTATGATGCTGGCACTTGGTTTGTTGTATAGGACCTTTATTATGTTTAAGTATGTTCCTTCTATTCCCACTTTGCTGAAAGTTTTTATCGTAAGTAAGTGCTGGATTTTATCAAGTGCTTTTTCTTCATGTATTGATATGATCATGTGGTTTTTATTTTGTTTATGCAGTATATTACAGTTATTGATTTGCAAATACCAACCTGGCATTCCCAGAATAAATCCCTCTTGATCACATCGTGTGGTCTTTTTGATGTATTGCTGTATTTGGTTTGCTAACATTTTGTTGAGAATTTTAGCATCTATGTTCTTCATGGATATTGGCCTATAACTTTTTTGTAGTGTTTTTATCTTATTCTGGAATTAGGATAATGCTGGACTTGTCAAATGAGCTTAAGACTTTTCTCTTCTCTTTAATTTCTTTTGACATAGTTTGAGAAGGAGAGGTGTTAATTCTTCTCAGAATGTTTGGTAAAATCTACATGTGAGGCCACCTGGTCCAGACCTTTTGTTTGTTGGGAGTTATTTAATTACTGCTTCAGTTTCACTAGGTGTCTATTCAGATTCTCTGATTCTTCCTGGTTTTGTTTTGGAATATTGTATATTTCTAGGAATTTATCCATTTCATCCAGGTTGTCCTATTTGCTGGCATATAGTTCATAATATTTTCTTATAATCCTTTGTATGTCTTTGGTGTCAGTTGCTGTTTCTTCTCTTTTATTTCTCATCTTATTTATTTGGGTCCTCTCTCTTTTTTTCTTGATGGTTAAAGTTTTGTCTATCTTGTTTATCTTTTTAAAAAACCAGCTCTTGGGTTCACTGATCTTTTGTATTTTTTTAGACTCTATTTCACTTATTTCTGCTCTGATCTTTATTACTTCCTTCCTTCTACTCCCTTTCAGCCTTGTTGATCGTTCTTTTTCCAAGTTCTTTTAAGTATAAGGTTAGATTGTTTATTTGAGCTTTCCTTGTTATTTGAGATAAGCCTGTAATCCTATGAATTTCCCTCTTAGGATGGCTTTCCCAATGTCCCACAGATTTTGGATTGTTGTGTCCTCATTTTCATTTATTTCAAGGTATTTGATTTCTTTATTGATCTCATTGTTGGCCCATTCATTACTTAATAACATATTATTTAGCTTCCATGTCTTTGTGTATTTTTCAGATTTCTTCATGTGATTAATTTCTAATGTCATATCATGGTCAGAGAGGATGCTTGATATGATTTTGATCTTATTAAATTTATCGAGACTTGTTTTCTGTTCTAATATATGATTTATCTTAGAAAACATCCCATAAGCACTTGAAAAGAATTTATATTCTGGGGCTTTGGGGTGTAATGCTCTGTAGATATCAATTAAATCCATCTGATCTAGTGTGTAATTTAAGGCCACTGTCTCATTTTTCATTTTCTGTCTGGAAAATAATTCATTGAAATGAATGGGGTGTAAAAATCCCCAAATGTGACTGTATTTCTGCCAATCTCTACCTTTATGTCCATCAGGATTTGTCTTACATATTTAGATGCTCCTCTATTGGGTACATAAATGTTTACTAGGGTTATATCCTCTTGTTGGATTGTTCCCTTTATCATTACATAGTGTTCTTCATGTAGTGTTCTTCTTTGTCTCTTACTATAGCCTTGGTTTTAAAGTCTCTTTTTTGGGGGCTATAAGTATTGGTACACCAGCTTTTTTTTTTCTTTTCATTTGCATGAAATATCTTTTCCCCTAGGAATTTTCTTATGCAATGCTTCCAAGTTCTATAGAGGATTCTCTCAGATATTAAATGGTGTTTCATTGAATTTGTTGACTACATTAACAATTGTGACTTTGGCCTCAGTTGGTTGGGCATTGT